TAAGATATGATATAATAGATTTACGAAGAAAATATTCTTTAGTTCCAAAAAGGTTACAAGTAAAGGAAACTATAGAAAGGTATAAAAACATAGAGAAAAATCTATCAAAATTTTATTTTCAAAATGAAGAAAACTTTAAAAATACAAATAAATTAGATTATTTTGTTACACATCCTGTTTATGGATATTTGATTTTTTTTATTGTTTTATTTAGTATTTTTCAAGCATTGTTTTATTTAGCAGAAATCCCCATGAATCTTATCGATTCTGTTTTCTCAAAAATATCAGAATATTTACAAACAATCTTAGGAGATGGTCCGTTATCAAAATTAATTTCAGAAGGTTTAATACCCGGAATAGGAGGTATAATAATATTTATACCCCAAATATCAATATTATTTTTATTTCTTACATTAATGGAAGAGAGCGGTTATATGAGCCGAGTTGTATATTTGATGGATAGATGGATGAAACCAGCAGGCTTGAGTGGTAAAAGTGTCGTGCCATTAATATCAGGAGTTGCGTGTGCTATACCCGCAGTTTTAGCTGCAAGAAATATCGAAAACTCTAAAGAAAGGTTACTTACTATTTTGGTTACACCTTTTATGACATGTTCTGCTCGTTTACCAGTTTATGCTATAATTATTTCGATAGTTATACCTCGTGGAGAATGGTGGCTATTTAACTATCAAGGTTTAGCACTGATGATTCTTTATTTATTAGGATTTTTAATGGCAATTTTCTCTTCATTTATTCTTAAAAATTTTATAACTACTAAATACAAAAGCTACTTAATATTAGAGATTCCGAGTTTTAAAATCCCTCTTTTAAGAAATGTTTTATACACTATATATACAAAATCTATGGATTTTATTTTAGGAGCAGGTAAAATAATATTAGCAGTAAGTATTTTAATTTGGGCTTTAGGAAACTATGGACCAAATGATTTTAACAAAAGTGATACTTCAAAAACTACATTAGAAAATTCATTTCTTGGTATTTTTGGTCATTTCATTGAGCCTACAATAAAACCTTTGGGCTATGACTGGAAAATCGGTATCGGTTTAATATCTTCTTTTGCTGCCAGAGAAGTTTTTGTACCCACTATGGCAACTATTTACAATATTCAAAATACAGATAATCAACATTCTTTGATTTCTAAAATGAAAAATGAGAAAAATTTTAATACTCAAACCCCTACTTTTACCTTTGCCAGCGGAATATCATTATTGCTTTTTTATGCCTTTGCTATGCAATGCCTTAGTACATTAGCAGTGGTGAAAAAAGAAACTAATAGCTGGAAATGGCCATTGTTTCAGTTATTTTTTATGACGGGTATAGCATATATTTTTGCATTCTGTGCTTATCAATTATTAAAATAATCCAATTATGCTAATAATAAAAGTTTGTGGCTTAAAATTCCCTGAAAATATCGAGGAAATAAAAAATTTAAATATTGATTGGATGGGATTTATTTTTTATAAACCATCTTCAAGATATTCAGAAAACCATTACAAGGATAAAATTGAAGGAAAAACCAAAATTGGAGTTTTTGTAAATGATAATATAGATGAAATTACTAATAAAATAAAAGAATATAATCTAAATGGAATTCAATTACATGGAGATGAAAACCCTGAATTTTGTAAATACTTTAAAAACAATAATATACTAACTATAAAAGCTTTTGGAATAGATAAAGATTTTGATTTTGATGAATTAAAACTATTTGAAAATGTAATCGACTATTTCTTATTTGATACTAAAACAGTTTTATACGGAGGTTCTGGAAAAAAATTTAATTGGGATTTTTTAAATAAGTATAAATTAAAAACACCATTTATTTTAAGCGGTGGTATTAATATAAATGATGTTGATAATTTAAAAAAAATTAATCATAAACAGTTTTTTGGAGTTGATTTAAATAGTGGATTTGAAATATCCGCTGGGTTAAAAGACTCTATCCTTATAAATAATTTTATAAAAAAACTAAAATAATTTAATAATTCTTTTTTGTACTATTGCAAATAAAAATTTACTTTTATGATATGTGAAAATTGTAACACTCAATTTGAAGGAAATTATTGTAATAATTGTGGACAAACAGCAAAAACTTATAGCATAAATTTTAATTTTTTCAAACAAGACTTTTCTTCAAATATATTAAAAATAAATACAGGATTTATATTTACTTTAAAAGCTTTATTTAAAAGAGGAGGTCATTTTATTTATGATTACGTAATGGGGAAAAGAATGAATTTCTCCACACCTATTTCATTTCTATTATTTGTTATTTTCCTTATAGTCTTATCAGGTGAATATATAAAAACATATAATTTATTCACTGATTTTAAAGTAAAATCTGATAGTAAAATTATTAATGAAGCATTTAGCTGGTTAATTAAAAATACATCATATTTTATGCTAATTTTAATCCCTATTTATGCTTTATCATCTTGGATAGTATTTTTTAAACAAAAATATAATTATTTTGTACATTGTTTGTTGAATACATACATAATAGGGTTCTTAATGATAATATTTATGATTGTTTCTATACTTGGCATTTGGATTGAACCAAAGTATATTAAAAACTTAGA